AGCTAAGGAAATGGCGCTAAATGGAATTGGGAATAAGTTTATATATTTCAAAATGTTTTCCCAAGAAGAACTCTTAATTGAAAACTCATTTAGGCAAAATATACGAGTACTGTTACCTATGTCAAAACTGCATAATCTAATCATAATCAAAACATAAATGAAATCTTTAAACAGCATTTTCAACCATATCCAAAGTAAACTCATAACAACAACCGGGCCTAAATACCTTACGCATATGCAAACAATTCGAGTTGCCAAATAGTTTCCATACTTTGCCTAATACCCCGAACCCAATGAATAGCCCAAAAAGTAAATATTGTCTTTGATGATAACAGAGCAAACAGAATAATTTGAAATACGCAACAATTGGAATTCGTTGACATCATAGAGAAGAGGAAGAGGTGGGCCTGCCTGCTGAGGTATCACCCTCGATAACTCCAAAACTGGTATTACATGTTGTTGAGCTGCTCTCGGCCTAATGGCGGCATTACAATCAAATGTGTGTGTTATTTTTGGTTCGGAATGACATCATGTATATGTACACATATACATAAATATATATGCAGGTATATGATATTCGCTTTTGTTTTCATAGCAACCTTGGAACAGGGCTTAGGCATTACGTATACGCAATATGCCAGTCATTAAACTCTGGAAGTTTAGTGACATTTGCTTTGGCTATTAGCGACACGGCGCACAAGATAAATTCAAATCTGGCCAATTGTCGAAAATGTAAAAAATGTGATTCCAAGTTTTTAAATACAGTTGTTGTTGTTGATTCAGCTCTTGCCTTCGCTCTCTTTGGTGTTGCTTTAGTTGTTATTTCGGTTTCGCATTGGAGGCTTCTCGAAACGTAAATGCAAAAAATAAACAAAAGCAAACCAAGAAAGAGCGCGTATGTATGTGTGTGTGCGTGTGACAGAGAGAGAGAGTGAGCAACTCTGCCATGTGCGATGACATCAGCAAGTCCAGTACAAATACTTGCACTGCTCTCTCGCAATCATCCTCTCTCGCTCTCTCTCTGTCAATGCTGTAGTGTGTGTGTGTCTGTGGGTCTCGCTCGCACTGCGTGCGCTGATTAGTGAGCTTCGAGTTTGTTTTCGTGCTCTCATTTTCATGATTCAAATGATTCGTTTTTACCTTTGCTTAGCATCTTCATTTTCCTCCCACAAACGCTTTATATCGATCTCTAGTTTGGCCTTCTCCTTGGCTGTTTCATCGAGCAGCTTACGTGCGGCAGCCAATTCCTTTTCGTACACAGACTTTAGGTTGGAAGTTTCGCGTTTAATGGTATCCTGTGCCGTATACACCTCCTGTGTTAGGCGTGCGTTCTCATTTTCCAAATGACGCATGCGATCAATGTATGTAGCGAGACGGTCATTCAGATGCTGCAACTCTTCCTTCTCCTGCAAGCGTGTGGTACGTGTGGGACTGGTGGGGCTGATAGCGCCACCCACGCGACCGGACGAGGTGGAAACTCCGCCGACAGGGGTCGACGTAGAAGCGCGTGAAACGCGTGTGTTAACAGCAACGCGGCGTGTTGTCATTTTTGCGTTAATATTATTTTTTGTATTTTTATTAAATTAATTAATAAAATTATTCAACAATTAAATTGAGGAACGTTTTAAGTACGCAGCTAGTTTTTATTAGTCTTTAAATTTGTTTTTGCTACGAATAGTTGAAAACTGTTGTGAAACTTGTATATTTCCTTGCTGCTAGCTGAACACGTCCGATTGCTTCGACTGCTGAAAAATTACTGTAAATGGCTGCATGCTAGCCGTTCGCACGAAAGCGCCGTACGTCATCATCGACGAAATTAGTAGTAGTCGCAGTCAGCGTCTGTCAGCCATAAAAAAGAAGAAGAAGAAGAAGAAGAAAACCCAACCGCCACAATAACAAAACGTCAACGTTTGATTCTCTCACACTCATATTTACTCTCTTCTCGCTCACATGTTCAGAGGCGACAGCGCTGCCAGCGCTCTCACTGTCATTGCCGCTGCTGCCCGGCTAGTTGCTGCTTTCTTTTCGTTGTTGTTCAGAACGCCGTTGTATTAGCACTGCGTAGCAGTTGTTGTTGTTGGAGAATGAGAGCCACAAATAGAAAACGAAACGAAAATCCAAAGCAATCAATGTCAAAGCGCAAAACTCGTTCACCAAACATTCATACTAGCATATGTTAATGTGCTTGTAAAAGTGTGCGTGTGTGTGTGCAGGCATGCCCAATTTTACATAGCATTTGAAAGTTTTCTTTTTGAGGAGTTTGGGTTAATGTACGAGGTGTTAAAGAAAGAAAATGCAAATGCATATAAAGTAGGGCAAATCGATAAACGATACAATTACAAGAACTCGGACTGTTGCTGCTCTGCTCGCACGCACCCACCAAAGCGGTTACTCAATTAGTTGCCGCTGCCATGGTGAAGCCAGCGGCTTGGCGAGCTCTCTCAATTTTCCACCCATTGGGAAAACGTTGGGCCGAAACTGCTTAGCACAATGTCAACTTGTCATAAATGAAATATTTATTGATATGTGCTAGCATGTGTTGTTGTTGTTGTTGTTGTGGTTAGAGCTGCTCGCCCACCCATTAGTTTTCGTAGGGAATGCCAGCAGCAATAACAATAAATAACAGCAAGAACAACAATAACAGTTATTGCATGCTTTGAAGAATAACTTTCTGTATTTCCATATGAATGTCCCTCTCTCGCTCACTCTCTTGCTCGCTCTCTTTGTCCCCTTTTCTATGTCTCTATTTTCGTAATTTCGGTTTTTAGCGGCCGCAAAAATTTTGTAGCCGGCTAACTTTTTTGCACACAATCTAGACGCATACAGATACACCTGCGAGGCACACAGTCTAATGCGAATATGCATGCATATGTATGTATGTATGTGTGTGCGTCTGTGTGCTCATGTAGAAAAGAGCATGCCGCTTCTCTCATGCTCTTGGCATTCACACATCGGCATTGCCTATGTCATGCCGTTTCTCTTTTCCCATTGTTGTTTTCTTTGTTGCAAACCGTTAGAGCCAGCTGGTTGGATCGAGTGCAACATAAGGGCTTATCGCTCATGTGCCTGCCTTTTGTGACGTCATCAACTCAAAGTGGAAGCAAAAGCAAAAGCAAAAGTAACAACAACTGACCTCCAATATAAAAATGACGCGAACGTCGAGAATGTGGGACGCCTTGCCGTTTGTCTCGCTCGCACGTGTGCTCGCGCTTGCTTGGCGTGACGTCATCAAATTATTTTTAATTATTGCGTCGCCGTTGCCGTTGTCTTTGCTCTGAGAGAAGCTTCAGAAATATTAACATATTTTATGTTCTCTCTTGCCAAATTATAATTCAGTTCGAGTGTGCACAATGCGGGTACAGTTCGGCTAATTAAGTTTAATTAACGTTAAGCGAAACCGGTGTTAAATTGTTGTTGGAATATACTTATACTTGTTATGCCGGCTCACTTAATGCGCTCTTGTTTATTTTGCTTTGCGCTTATCATTTGTTGCCAGGTTTTGGACTCACAAAGCACAATGTTGTGTTTCCGTATACGCTTTTCTTTTTTTTTTTTGATGAGCGGCGTCTATTTGTCGCTTAGCTTGATTAATTGTAAAAATTAAGGTCATGTACTGATAAGGATTTATTATTACATTAAAAATATAATTACATTAAGTTTTGAGTTAGATGTGATCGTATCCAATCAGCTAGCGTCTAAACAATCTGTTTTTAGAACAATTTTATTGTATCGAACCCATACATAAATATTAAAGTCGTATTTGGCATATTAAATGCCTTAGCAACATATAAACACGTTTTGACAAGGCTTTTATTAGTTCTCTATTATTTAATACAATTACAAGTTAACAAAAGGTATGCATATTTTATGTGTAGGTATTTATAACTCTAAACAATTTATAAAATTCCCATACAAAGATTATAAATGACTTAATTTACAATTTATTTATTAGTAATTAATTATAAATATTAAAACAATGATACAAAATTAGTTTATTGAGAAATATTTCAAAGCCAACTTTGTTTTTTGACAACATTCCTAAGAAGCAGATAACTCAAAGTCTCTTCGAATTATGTACATACATACGTACATATATTTATACTATAAATTTTATAGTTTATTTAGAGTGATGAGCAGATCTAACTATGTAAATTTGCTTATTTATTCGTCTGTCTATCGAGTTCTCTATCTGTCTATCCGTCTGTCCGAATGCTTGTATTTCGTACATTTAAAATTGACAATGTATACACATACATATATAGATTATGAGCTGTTCGCGTCTCTAAGTCTTGCGCTCAACATAACTCCATGTCTGTATGGGTGTTAAGAGCAACTTCGGCTAGAATACCTAAATAGACAGCAAGTACTGCTCTCAATGGCCACCCACTGATC